GCGGTGGGTGTGGGCTCCCTGTGGGCACTGACATAGCAAAACTGGTCGGCCTTCTTCCAGACACATCATTATCAGAGGAAAATACCCCCACTCATTTAATCCACTGCTGTAAGGGTTTTTGTAGTCCTTACTTTATCCATACAACATTTCTATTATTACATTTACAAATCTAGTAATAGTAAGCTCAAAGAAAACTAATCACTTTGGGAAAGAGGGTGTTTGAGTGGTGTTTGATTAACTTAAGTTGAATAAGCTAAACTCCCTTAAACTATCAGTCTCACTTGCAAGCATCATTTATTCAAATCTCTTAAACATTTAAAACTCCTAATATAGACACATCACATCACTTATCTGTTTCAATACCTCCAATAATTGACCTAGCAAGTGGCAACCAATTAAGCCAAATGTTCTCCTAACTTAAACTTCTCTTCCAAATCTAATAAACTTATAAAAACATTGCAACTCTAATACTGTTAATGAGCTAAGCCAATTTTTCTTATACCTTTCAACTTCAAAATCAAAAGCCTAAAATCAGTTTTGCATTTTAGATCAGAATCATGTTTTTTTAAAACATTAAAATCACTTATGTAAGATGGAAACACAAGAGCATTCCTAAACTTAGCATGAAAAATATCAGTTAGGCCCTCCCTGGTGGCACAACGGGTTACAGCACATCACTAAGAAGCTAAAGCCACTTGGCATGAGTTTGATCCCCACCTGCTCCGGAGGTGACCACATGGCACGGCAGACCTCTCCTGACGCACCCACTGCTCCCCTCAGCAGTGTACTTCGTCGATCTGCCTGTTCTGCTCCCCGTTCTGTCTCTGGTGAATCCTCTCTCACACACACACACACACACACACACACACACCCCTGGCCTGTACCCCAGTTGTTGTAGTATGCATAAATAAATAAATCCTTAAAAAATAAACTGATATATTTCAGCTGCTCCCCATGTAATTCTGAACATTCCCAAACTCGGAAACTCACTTTTACTCAATAAGGGAACAGATTTTCCTCCTCAGAGTCAAGATTAATGGACCTCGAACTCATGACCACAGTTTGGTGGCAGCTCAGGTGATTTGAGGTTGCTTAGGCTGTGGCCATGATGAAAAAGGGGACAGACCCCCTTTGAGGAGTTTGACATTAGAGGCTTCATTCCATTTACTTCTTAGTACTTTTAATTTTAGATCAGATTAGAAACAAATGACGCAACACTACCCCACCATGTCAGCTAACTCCTTCGTCGCTTCATTGGCTTCTGTGCTGCCTTCTGCAAATCCTGCTGACACTTCCATCACCCTGAGGACAGTTTTAAGTCTTTGAATTCAATCCTGAACATTTGGCTCTGAGCCAGGGCTCTAAAGTCATCATAATAACCATCACAATAACGCACACCATTCCCTTCCTTGTGAATTTTTAGGATTTCCCATCTCCCGTTTCACCAGAATGACTGCACTTACCTGGGCAGGATCTCGGCTTCAGTCGGCCTCTGGACATCCATGAGAGCTGGGGTCCCGGGAAGAGGCACAGTCTGTTTCCAGGCTCAGGTGCATCCATGCATACTCTCCGCTTCAGTGGTGGGGTGGGGGGTGTCTCCCAACACCCCCACCTGTTCTCTTTTTTCACCTCTACCCGATAGATGAGTGCCTCCTTTTTTGTATGTCCAACCTTTTCACTCAAGGCAGGACCACAGCATCCGGGCAGAAGCCCAGGCTGTTTTACACTATTCCTTGTTTGTAGATATGGGGGGATTGGAATTTGCCAGCTGTTCCCACTTAACCAAGTTACACTGGCGCTGAGGCCTGGCCAGAGGAGTGCTACTTTTAAGCCTCACAGACAAAATATTCACTAATAACTATGTTTTTTTCTGGTGGTAGATCTCAGAAGATAGTTACAATTTAAATATATATATATAC